GAAAATTGAGGAATTGGCCCAAATAAAACCATTGTAAAATATAATGACAGCCCACGAGTAGAGGACTATCATCGCCCAAGCATGTAGAACGCCCAGGATCTGAGCGAATGACGTACCCCAATGTCGCTCAGAACGACGATCTCACTCTCGTCCAATCTTTGAAACGCCCAATGTCTGGATGAATATAGCATTTTGTTCAGTTATTGAAGCGGTTATTGAGCAACCTTATCACACCCCATGATCCAAGAATCTCGGTTACAAGCGGTTAAACGACAGGAGCACTAACAACGGTTGATAACGACAGTTCCTTGACAAGTCAGCCATCATGAAGAAAGTTAGTAGTTATAGAGCGCCAAGCAGTTTCCAAACAGTTTTACAAGAGAAAATCGACAAAGAAGTATAAAAAGGAAAAGAAGACATAGAAAGAAAGATCCCGAATGAAACACTTTCAACTGAAAATATGTAATTTCAATTCATTTACTTTTTACTTGCAAACTTTCAATTTGTTTCGTGTGCTTGTGCCCCAGAGGCGTTTTGCTTCTTTCCAATTATAATCTTCATAAATAAAGCACTCATTTTTGGGACTTTGTTTCAAGAAGTTTGTTTCTTACACAATCGTCTGAACTTTTCTTTTAATTGTTAGCGATAATCCGAGCGAAACAATGTTGAAAACTGATTTCAACCCGTCAAATTCCTAATTTGGCTAAAGAAAAAATTCAAATTGTCTCACTAAATATTGATAGCTGTCTTGCATAGGTTAGCATTTGCAAGTTAATGTTCAAAGTAAAATTGTAATATAATGAAATTAATATTAAAAATAATAATAAGAACTCAGGATTGACATAGATAGTCTAAAATGATAAATATCACTGATTTGCGAACAATGTCTACTAAGAATAAATTGATGCTATTTCTATAGAATCATGGTCATCACAAGTCTAGATAGCAAATAAGTGACATTCATTCATTTGTCATCTAAATTCGATTCATATTCCTATATTGAAGATAACATATAAGTTAATGTAACTTAATTGTTACCTAAACTCGTGATGATCATGAGTCTCAATAAATAGCATTATTCAAAAACAAATAAGGACAAATCTTGATTGAAATTACAAAATCAAGGCTGTCTCAGTCTTTACCAACTCCATAAAAATTACACAATTGCTGAAGCTGGACTTCGCATCCTAATTTCCACTAATTCTTGAATGTGACGCAACTGTTGAGAAATGTTCAGAATTATAAAAGGAAAGAAAGAAATGTAGAAAGAGAATTATGGGCAAGGTGTCTCAATATTATAAATACTGTATGAAAACAATGTTTTCCCCCATTGAAGTAATAACACTAAGAATATTGCATATTGCTTTTTGGAAAACACGTTTCTAAGATACAATGCCAGGCTCTAAACTCTCTAGATATTGATGGGCTTATCAAGAAGAAGATGAACTTATATGAATCAAGTTGATATGTGTTGAAAAAATGTATGTGACATATTTTTACGAGTAATGTTATTTATAGCTAACGACTGTTGTAATCATCATATGTGTCAATTTGTTATTGAACCATTAGCTTGTGATTTAAAACAACAAAATTACAAGAATTTAATATCTCAAATAACAAACAGCCAAATAGAATGCACGCAGGGCAACTACTGTAATCCGACTACAAATAGCATTATTCTATTTTTACATATCTTATATGTTGGCCTTCTTAATTTATATTGTTGATTTTTAATTGTCCAACATTGAGACAAGTGCACAAGTTATGATCGGTCAAGCTATAGTTAGTTCTTACTGACTGTGATGGTAAGCAGATTCATCCAGAATATTTGAACTGAGATTTTTTTGTGTTTACTTATATATTATTGTTTGATTTCGAGACACATAAGTACAATTCGTTATAATTTAGGTTATATATTTCCCATGTTTTCAAATCTGTTTAAAAGGAAACTACAAGGATATGAATTGAAAATCTTTTAGTATATTTTAAGCTAATTTTCTTACCATTTTTAAAGCAGATCCTTAGGTGAGAATTAGTTTATTATTTTTTATGATTACTTTACATATAAGTATTGTAAGAAATCGAGATTGAAATTAAGCTTTAGAAATCAAAAATTTTGTTCTTGTTCATTAGCGGTTAGGCTCAGCCGATTTCATGAAAGAGGACAAGACGTGATGCTTCAATGATAATTTTATAGAAAACGGTTCCTTCACGCCTTTGAATAATAAAAAAGAACAAATATGTGCTCTAATTACAATCTGGTCTTTTGATCAAACTACAGCATGAAGTTAAGAACGGTACTTCTTACTTTAAGTGATGACTGCAATCGAGTACAATAGAGAAGTGATTATAAAGTCAAAATCGATGGTTTGATTTCACTTCATCAAGAAGTCAAACGAAGAAGACAAAAAACAAAAGGAGTTGTCCTTAATTTTTTTGATTGTTATTTTGTTAATTTTGCTAAATTACAAAAATCGAGGATTAATGTATTTTTTATCAAAATTATTAGTGGATTGTTTGACCCGTAACATGAGTCCATCAACAATTTCACACGTCTGTGTCTAGGTAGAGTCTAAGGAGAAGTCGTCTTTTAGCTTCACCATTGTGAAACAATTCTAACGAAGGTTAACATGTCCTTATTTTGCTACAAGTACTTCAGTTTGAATGGTCTAGCTTGACATAGACATAAGACTATCTTGCACCACATGAAATCACGTGGTAGCAGAGACTTCACATCCTAATTTTCACTAATTCTCAACTGTAACATGACTACCAATAAAAATTGCAAAGAAAATAAAAGGTAGTGGTCGAGACTAAGGCTGCAATTTGACATATTATAGCTCATGTTTGATACTCATTCTCTTTCTTATTTTTTTTTTCCTCTTTTTTCATTTCAACCGCACATTCTCCAAATAAAATAATATTATACACAAGTCTAAAAATTTTCATCATTTTTCCACCACACATTCTCTCATCAATCACTATTCCAAAAATTTTCAACCCATTAAAATGGGTGTCAAACACGTACATAATTTGTACTCCATTTTCATATTATTATTTTTCTTTATGATTTTGATGTATAATTATTTAATAAATGTCACATGCAAAAGGTACAACATAGATATGCGTGGTTGGCCAAGATAAGAAAATCCCAAAGACCAATGAGCTTTAATATTTTGATTCATGGTGGGGCACAAAAATCATCAGCCGCTAGTTTATTTTGCCAATTTACTGGACCAGTATTTTACAAATCAATCATTAGTTTTATGATTTAGGTTACAACATATTGGTGGATGAAAACTGGAATTTCAACTGTGACTATTTTATTTCGATTTTTTTTTCTACATGAGTTGGATTATTGTCATTGTGACTTTGTCGTCAAAAGGTAACACGAACTGCTTCAAGTACTATAGAAGCTTGAATGGCATTCCAATGTGATCTTATTTTCAAGGAGTGAATGGAACCTATCTATTAGAATTTGGGTGTGACCCGAATTCTTTGTTGAAGATAATTGGAAATTTTTATTAAAATGTACATTAATTAGAATACTATTTAAATGAAATTGTGAAATTCTATTCAAGTTTTCTTGGTAAATTCTACTTGGAAGTTCATTGGGAATAAGAATTTATGTTGGACTTTAACAAGACTTTCGAATGAATAAAAATATCATTGGAAGGAGTTGGGTTGGAGATGCGGCTCCTAGGCGCTAGGTAGTGGTGCCTAGGCACCGTAGCTATAAATATTAATAGCAAGGCTGGTGCTGCGGAGCCACCTGTTCTGCTCTTTTCACACGGTTGGTCTCCTTTTTAGTTTTGGATTTCGTTGTTGGCATTTTAGTTCATCTACAACCCTATTATAAGAATTTGGACGACCCCTGTTTGTTTCTTATATATAGTTGACTCTTCATTATGATGTAGTTAGAAGTTAGAAATATTGAAAACACATCATTTTTGTAATCATTCTTCATATTATAATAAAATCTTCATTCTCTACAAATTATATTGTTCTTGTAATCAATTATCCTTAATATCTTATTTTTTTCACAATAAAGTGGTGTTGGAACATTCTATTTTACATATCCTTAGGGTGAAGATGAGAAACTCAATTTGTTGGTGATTAAGAATTACTATAGCAGGGTTTCAGTCTGAGTCACTTGAACATTTTCAAGTCAAGTTAGAAGCTTAGATGAAAGAATACGAGATACAATATTGTTTATATTAAGTGTCGCATTAAGAGTTTTAACAGTTTTCTACCTTGACTTGTTTTCTATAGAAATGTGGTAACTTCGAAGATAATCAATTTAGCACAACGCTACCTGCCTTTCTAGATGGGCCAAGCTGCACATGGTTTGATTTTTGGCTTTAACTGGTGAGAGTACTTTTAACTATGGAAAATAAAGGCTTTGACATGGCCAGCTATGAGATGGTTTGTTGACCTAGAATTGATATTGCAATTTAGTCAACAGTTGCATTATTGATTATGGTTTGCACAAATTGATGAATTAAACTACTCGTACAGTCTTTGTAAAAAATTGTAATTGTCGATAGATCTTATTTCGGTTCATAAATCAAGATTGTTGGTGAGGTCGATGCTACATGACTTGTAAAAATTTCTAAGCTCATCTAATCCGTCGACACACCAGGTAGTACCATTGAAAACACGTGGCTAATACGATAACATGTTTAAAAAAGTAAACTCAATTTCGTTTGCGCACTTTCCAATCTATTCCAATATTCCCTAATCACTACCCATATCCCACAAGCCAATGACATTTATTGTTTTGATTCCAACCAATTTTAATAATTAACTCAATTCTAGACCCGATAAACTCCTTTGGGAAAACTAAATTCATTGCAAAATAGATTATTAGTTATAGTACATTGATCAAACATCATAGTCATCATCCTCTAAAACATATACACAATGACACATTGTCAAATTCATTAACAAGAACATACTTGAACCAAATTAAAAATCCAAAATTTGATTATTTTCCAAAATCAAAAAGTTGGGACAATGCCATATGAGGCATCAGCAGCAATGAGGGACTCAACCTCCATCTCCGAACGTTTTGCAAACCTTCCTTTGATTCTCGGCCTGGTTTCTGCATAAGCCTTTCTTGAAGCATATCGAATGGTTTTCTCGAACTTTCTATTCTTTCTTTTTTCTCTATACCTCAAAACCCTCGCTTCTCTGTCAATCCCGGAGGCTGGAGTCGGGATGACCTCGGTTTTAACGAAGTTGTTGGGGTTGTGGTCGGGCACCACTCCAACCTCCAAAGATGAGGATGAGACCTGTTGGTGTTCGAAAAAGTCAAGTTGTCAGCAAATTGTAGCAATAATCTAATAGTATAACGAAGTTATACTATCCAATCAAATCTAGTACTACGTACTAAGCGTATTCCTAATTCATCCAACCAACAAGAAAACTTAAGATAACATATTTGGCTAATCTTAAAAGTAAGATAACACTTGTCTAAGAATTGAGCCACATATACGGGGGTAAGTTATTTTTTTGCTTATAAATAAAAAATAATCACTTATTTTGCTTTATACTCAAATCAATGATTCTATCACTTAAAAAATGAAATAAACAAGATTTGGAAAGATGAACATACGCTTTGGCTAATGGATTGAGAGCTGAATTTGTACATAAATGGCTTAGATCCTGGATAATCCATGGAATAAGTTGGAAATCCATCAACAACTGGACCCAAAAAGTGAGGCTGCGTAAATTCATTCTTGTTTTGCTCCGGCACAACCCCATCGGAACTGTACTGTTTCTGATGATTGTTGATATGGAGCTGTGGCTTTTGATCGCCTGAAATTAAGTCAAGATCCAGGTACGGATCCATATCATTGAACACATATTCCGCCGATTTATACTCCGGCGACTCCGAATCTTCCGTGGGGAGGAGCCACGACGCCGCCTCCGCCTCCTCATCGGAGAAGTACTTGTCATTAGTGGTTGTTGTGGTGTTGTTGGGAGATGATGAAGACTTAGAGGCGGTGCAGTCGTAGAAGGGGACAACAGGGAGGCGCTCGTGGCGGCGAGAAAGTGGATTAGCAGAGTGTATGTCTCGGTCACAGGTGGCGCAAAGCGCCGCTGCATCCGCCTTGCAGGTGACTGCAGCTGGTGCTTGCTCGCAAACTTCGCACACCAACACACGGCCGTGACGCGACGCCAGTTTGTTGGCGGCGTGGACTTTGGCGTCGCAGCCGATGCAGAGGAAGGCGGAGTCGGCAAAACAGAATACGGCGGCGGAGGTGGTTTTGCATGAATCGCAGATTTTTGCTGTTAAGCTCCCATTCTCACCCCCCATTTTTTCTTCTTTTTTTTTTTTAAAATAAATTTTCTATGTTTAGGACACACATTATGTACTACAAACCCTTACGGACAAAAGCTTGCAAGTTGGTAGGGAGATCTGGATACTGACCAATAAGAGGATGACATGTGGGCAAGGCTTAGCCAAATAAAAGGGCAAATTGTACTAGTAGTCCTCAACTATTGCCTCAATGAAAAAATAGTCTTCAACTTTTCGTTATAAAACCATCTAAATGATCGTCGAAATTGTTGGGAAAAGTTATGAAGATGTGATCTTCCTTTCCATTTGTGTTTTTTATTGTATATAACAGATTACGAGTTAATTGTCCAAATAATTAAAAAAACTAATTATTTATATGTATTCAATTTTTCACCAAAATTTCAAAGATCAAGTTTTGACAACTAAACTTGTCAAAATGTAGAACGCTACTTATTGGCATAACGTTCATTTTACAACTCTAACGGAATTCATAATTATCTCGTAAGACATCTTTGATTGTTCATTATACTTTGGAAGATATCTTTTATTGCTTATTATATTTTTAAAGACATCTTTAATTGCTTATTATACTTTCAAGTGATCGAGTTTTGACCACTGAACTTGTAAAACTGACGTCGACGTGTATTGAAAATTTAGGAATGTTCCAAGTATCATTGCATATAACAAAATTAATCTTCCAACAAATTTTGATCTATATTCGAAGCTAGGTTTCTTAAGAGAAAACCAAGGATAGGGTCAAGAACTCGCGAAAGTTCGATTCTAAAGAGAGACATTTCCATCCATATTAAATTCTAAACATCATGATTCCTGATCTCCCTGAGCTATTTTTTTATCACCTTGTGTATTATGTGCATCAAGGAAAATATTTGCACTTATTAATTACATTTAAAAAATCCACAACAATTCTGTCATCAATAAAGAGAATGGAGCAGACTCCTCCAATTCACCAGAATTCTGTCATCAATTAAAAAAACTTCCTTCCTTCTGTTTCATTTATTTATTTGTGTGTGTCTTTCCATTTTCTTTACCACCCATTTAGGAGTTTGATTGGAGGAGCATCCATAGCTGGCCACAAAAAAAGAGCCATTCATTGGATTGAGTATGTTTTTATAGCAAGCCCAGTAAGTCTCTATAGAATAGCACTTGTCCACAAAAAATTAAATGTTGTTGCATGCAAGTGAAATTTGGTATAACATTTCTAAAATTTTAAGACAAGTCGACGTCAACTTTACAAGTTCAGTGACCAAATCCGATCACCTTAAAGTATAGTGAGCAATCAAATACGGTTTCAAAAGTATGACGTGCAATCGAATATATCTTTCAAATTATAGTGAGTAATCAAAGAAGTTTTTCTTACGTGACAATTTACATAGAGTGTGTTTGGTAGGAATTTTTGGGAAAAGAATTGATTTTTGAATAGTGATATGATGGGAAATGTGTGGTTGAAAAAGAAGAAAAAATTATTGATGTGATGGAAAATATTATTTTATTGAAGAATGTGTGATTGAAAATGAGAATTGATTTACTGTAAAATTTGAGATTGATTTTTGAATAGTGATATGATGGGAAATGTGTGGTTGAAAAAGAAGAAAAAAGTATTGATGTGATGGAAAATATTATTTTATTGAAGAATGTGTGGTTGAAAATGAGAATTGATTTACTGTAGAAAATGAGAATATGTATCAAACAAGCTCATAATAGTGTTTGGGTAGTGCCCGTGCATTCCACATGCTATAACACCAATTTCATTAGAGTTGTGAAATGGAAGTCATGCCGTGAGTAACATCCATCATTTTGATAAATTTTGTGATCAAAACTCGACATCTGAAATTTTAATGAACACTCGAATACACAAACTTAAGTTTAATGATTATTTTGACAATTAACTCATGAAAAGCTAGTTACTATATAAAAAATTTCTTGTTAATTTTGTGGTTTAATTAAAGAGTAGAATATTTCTATTTTCAATTGTCCTAATTTATCTTCATATATTTATATTGTAATATTTGTTTGAAGGAATTTCTAAGTATTAGCCCATATGATAAAGTAAAATATGATTTCATAACATTAGAAATAGAAAGACTATATGGATTGTTTAACATGGATTTGACGGTGTTTGTCAAATAAGTGAGATGTTAGAGGCCAATTTGCTAAAAGAGCAACAGACTGGGGACCAATGATGAAAATTTCTCTTTGGAAAATATGTGTACCCCCACTAGAAACGTGAATGCATTGGGGAACTGTGGTGGGGCCAAGTGGTGTTTGGCTTTTATCAAACTGTAATCAAAAGCAGAAAGAACAAGGATTATAATGGAGTGGTAGGTCCCATTTGGTATGGTTTGTGGTCTAGGGGGTTTGGGTGCAAATTGGGTTCGTTGTCACCTCTTAAATAAACTCCACCCTCTTCAAACACCTCTAGGTGGGTTGGGGTAGTATGGCTCTTGAAGGTATGCAAGAGACATGAGAGGAATGGCTAGGTATATGAAGGTTAAGGATCATTAATTGTCTTTGATTTCATGTGTTGATAGGGATTGGAGATGATAGGGAAATAAGGATAGCGTAACTTTGATTATATCAAAGTTTAGAATCTGAGACTCACATGCACGACATACACTGGACTCTCAATCCTAGTAAATAAACTGTTCGATAATGAGAAATCAAGATTTTGTTACACGAAGAAAAATAAATTGTGAAGCAATTGCATTATAAGATTGATCAAATCATGAATCTAAAGTAAGTGGCGACTTTCTTTGTGTTATAACGAGATAATCAATTTTAATTTAAATGAATGTAGTTTATTTTGAAGTCAATTAGGTGCAAATGAAGCATTAACTACATACGAGCACGATAATTACAATATTTGATAATTGGATAATCACTATAGTATATCGATATCAATAATGCATGGTGGGGTCAATCAAGTTTGAACTTTTGCTTGTTCAAATCAATTTGAGATCAATAATACAATATTTCCATTTTATTTTATTTTTCTCTTAGAGATCAATAATACACAATATTTCAAAAAATTTCAATCGAAAAGTGTAAAACTGAGAAATAACTAATTTTCTTTTCAAGTAAGAATTTACGTACTCCAAATTCATTAAGTGTTATAGCATTCATTTTATATTCAAATTGTATGTAAATCCTAAAATAACGACTCTGAATAAACTAATATAACATATTTGATATATTAAATTGGACAAGATAATATTTACCAGCCAAAACATCAAGAATTTGTTTTCCTCAAAAACGTGAAAATTTTGGAAAGTTTGTAAAACATTTTTTGGGGAAAATTTTGCCTATCAAACACTACAAAAGTTGGAAAATGAAAATTTTCATTTTCCATGAAAAATATGGTGTATCAAACGGACCCTTAATGTTATATCTACAAACAGAAGACGATTTGTTTGGCAATTTTTTTTTCCACCTTTACAAAAGTATTTTTACTTCAATTAACGTGTCGGGTATGTGAAAACAAAAATTCTATACTGTTTTAATCGATTGTTACTCTACTAACGTAGACCCAAACACGAGAGGACAAATTTATTTTAAGCACAAATTTCTTTCATGATATTTTTCAGTACTTTCTTGTCTCCCTAGTGTAAAAATTCATGAGCTTTCTATAAATTATAATATCACAAAAAATATTTTTATTTACAATTATGTCCATTCCTATCCCATCCCACTACATCTACGTATTGAAACCTTCATAATTGACAAGCTAGTTGAGGTTGCGTAAATATTTCAATTTTGACATCTCTTTCGTTAGGCAATCGTATCTTACTAGATCTAAACGGTCCCCATGCAACTATGCACAACGACATTAATTTGTAAAGTTAGACAAAAATACCTTAATTTTTGTCAACAAAGTCGGCTGCTAAAGATTGATAAAAATAAGAAATTAATTTGCAAAATTAGACGAAAATATTTAAGTTGTTGTAAACAATGGAGACTAGTAAAGAGTCTTTACGGGTCGGGGCGGGGCGGGTTGGGTTGTGAAAAGAGCCCAAACCAGGTATATTAGGTTCGGTAGGGCCTGTTTTGGGCCAAATCCGACCCTACCCATTGTCCATCCCTAATAAAGACAATAAACATAAAACTTGAATCAGGAGTTCCAATTCAAAATGTGTAAGTATTTAATGATTATCATATTTTTCTTACCCCAAATATCAATAATACAATATTTCCAAATTTTCAAACTAAACACTGCATACATCTTTATCATTGAGTATAAAACTAATAAATAAACACACTTAAAATTTTAAAATTTTTCGAGTGAAAAATTATATTAATCAAACACACTTGAAATCATTTTCCCTGCAAAACATTTTCTAGCCAAATCTTTTCCCTGTGAAACGTTTTCTTTCCACCTATTTTTCACCCTTACAATCAAAAGTACCCTAATAGGAAAAACTTACCACACATAAAAGGAAAAAATTCATAAATACAATAATCTAAGCATATAATTTCAAATTTAACGAACTTTTAAAAACATTTCAAATATAAAGTGCTAAAACATATTGATATATTATATATATTTATAAGATGTTGCTAAAATTTAAGAAAATTAGCCCATATTTGACAATCGTTATTTTACAACTCTTTAATTCACATTCCTGTTTTTAATTACACATTTATCTAATAACATATTTTGCACTTAAATTCAAAATAATTTTCTATTTTTTAATCACACATTCTTCAAAAAATTATTATCCAAAATTCCATTTTTTCAAAGTAATGATCCTCAAACAGGGGCTATGATATTTTCATTAACAATATTATATCCTAATATATAACATTTAGTTATTAAAGATAATTATTTCTTTCACCTCTCACCTTTTCTCCCTTACAACACTTTCCCACTTTCTCTCTCTTAATACTCTCTAGGTTCTAAAATTGTGAATTTAAGAAAAAAAAAATAAAAATAAATAGGTGGCTACATTTTGTGACCTCTAACAAAATTTTATAACCTAAAATTTAATTTAACATGTCACATTCACAGTAACACATAATTTATGATTACGATCACATGTTAGTTACAAACTGCTTAAGATTACAGTCACAAAAATAAATTTGCAAGTCAGTTACAAATTTAATCTCAAATTACACATTTTATATAGATCACAAATTATTTATTGATCGTAAATTATCAAATTAACTTGTCACAACCACTCTTCACTAGGGTTGGGCAAAATGTCCGAACCGAACTGAACCGAACCGGAACCGAACGGAACCGAATCGAGCGGGTTTTCTTNACCCTAATAGGAAAAACTTACTACACATAAAAGGAAAAAATTCATAAATACAATAATCTAAGCATACAATTTCAAATTTAACGAACTTTTAAAAACATTTCAAAAATAAAGTGCTAAAACATATTGATATATTATATATATTTATAAGCTGTTGCTAAAATTTAAGAAAATTAGCCCATATTTGACAATCGTTATTTTACAACTCTTTAATTCACATTCCTGTTTTTAATTACACATTTATCTAATAACATATTTTGCACTTAAATTCAAAATAATTTTCTATTTTTTAATCACACATTCTTCAAAAAATTATTATCCAAAATTCCATTTTTTCAAAGTAATGATCCTCAAACAGGGGCTATGATATTTTCATTAACAATATTATATCCTAATATATAACATTTAGTTATTAAAGATAATTATTTCTTTCACCTCTCACCTTCTCTCCCTTACAACACTTTCCCACTTTCTCTCTCTTAATACTCTCTAGGTTCTAAAATTGTGAATTTAAGAAAAAAAAAAAATAGGTGGCTACATTTTGTGACCTCTAACAAAATTTTATAACCTAAAATTTAATTTAACATGTCACATTCACAATAACACATAATTTATGATTACGATCACATGTTAGTTACAAACTGCTTAAGATTACAGTCACAAAAATAAATTTGCAAGTCAGTTACAAATTTAATCTCAAATTACACGTTTTATATATATCACAAATTATTTATTGATCGTAAATTATCAAATTAACTTGTCACAACCACTCTTCACTCATCCCCTCATCCACACCCACTCTACCACCATCGGCACCACCTCAAATCCAAAACCTATCACCACCACCTTCAGCTCAAATTCACAACCATCACCATGACCTTGAAAAAACAAATCAAAGTAAAGCAAAAACCACAAAAAAAGAGCAATAAGTTAAATTATCAAGAAATTTGACGATAATTATTTTCTTTTATGAGCATTCAGATCTGGTGTTAATGTTGCAACATTGACTCAACAAGAAGCCACGAGGTAATACATATGACGATGTAGGAGCAACTGTAGAGCTCCTCCTCATAAGGGAGATCAGTATGACTGACTGCCTTTATTTTGTGTTTATATATGTATAGAAAGAGTTTTGTATTTATACATGGTTGTCAATCATTGTTGTTTGAATATTTTCAACTCGAACTTGAACCGTAAAGGTCCTAAAACGATCCGAGTATGATTGGGTCGGTTTGAATATTCGAGTTTCAGGTCTGATACCAAGTCCTACTCTATACTCGAGGGTTTGGAGACTCTACTGCGAGACAAATAGCCTGTAATTCTAACTGACCTGATGATCTACAACCAAATTAATCAGTATATTTTAAACGGATTGAAGTATATAGAAATAGTCCTTTCGAAAATCTTCTGCATTCAAATGATCATTCACCCAACATAGTTCCTACTTTGAACCTGTCAGAATTTCGATACATTCAATTGGAAAAATAAAACCTAATTATGGACTTCACCATCGGGCTTCCAACTCTTCAATGAAATACTATCGCTGTATTTATGATGATGATGATGATGATGATGATGATTTTGGTGATTCCGTGAAATCTCTTAATCAACTCTTCTCCAATCACTCCCGATCCTTCTTGTAATGCCCTCAAAATCTTATTACTTGTTTGGTGAGGATTAAAATCAGATTTTTAGTAGATTTTGATAGATATTAATGAAATGTGCTATTGAAAAGTTGTGAGATTCATAAAATATGTGATTAAAATGAATTGTTAACTTTGACGTAAATTAAAATCTAAATTTTAATCAATATCATACACGCTATTAATCTGGAGGATTAACTATTTACTTACATTTAGGACATGTTTGAGCTGGATTAAAATCTTATTTTAATCTAAATCAAAATCAAACAATCAATATTAACCACATCTTTTATGGGTCGCCCACTTCTTTTTAACCACACATTTCAAAAACTTCTATAACAATCCACTAAAAATCTAATTTTAATCCTCACCAAACATCCTCTTAGAGGTTCTTAAGGTTGCCAATGGGTCCCTAAACTCAAAAACTTAATGCGGAAAATATAAAATTTGTAAAGTTTGGATAAACTTAACAACCTATCATAATAATTTCATTTTGACCCCTAAAATGTCATTTACATATATCTTTGCATTAACAAAAATTGTAGCATTATTTTACAAGCAATTTACAGAAAGTTACATACTAACTTGCAGTAAGCTTGAAATAATTTCATTCAATGCCTTTAAAATGCTCAAGTTTGTAAGGTTGTAACATAAACTTTACATTTTACATATTCGAGATGTTGCAGCATCATGCTGTTAAATTTCCAGAATGCTGTGTAATGATTCAGACTTTTAAACATCATTAAGAGATGATACAAACTGAAACTTCGTGATGAAACGTAAGGTACTTTACTCAACACGATATTACAATACTATTTGTTTTCATGAACCGTAGCACGAGATTTCATCATCTCGTGCTACAATTAAAAGCATCATTTGTTAGTCTTACATAATATGATCCCATCTTCAAGTGCCTCGACCAAACAACTCCCTCATAATTATATACCTATAAAATTTAGTGGTTTATGTGAGTATAAAAATACTCTGTAAGGCACAAGCTCAATTTTATGTGTTAACAGCGGCAGACGCAGACTTTTTATGTTAGGGGGCACAATCAAACTTTCAAAAGGTAACGAAACAATTAAAGTAAGAGATTGGAACTCGATCTTACACTCTGTGGAGATCACTATCCAAACTTCCAATTTCCTCATTCTCATACAAAAGCTGCAACCAACACGAACTGAAAAATGAGTTATGATTGTCTGCCCATCATCATATACAGAGATACAGAGAAATGAGGAAATTATGAAAACCACAATGATGTTTATGTACCTCAACAAGAAACATTCTATTGGACACAAACACTACTAAGGCGAAAGCGCAATATTTCGATCCAAAGCCAGCTAATTTTTAGTAAATTGCTTAAACAAAAATGTCAGGACTGCACATCATCTGCATCAGAGTCACTACCAGAGGAACTCCCCCAATCAGAATCTATAAAAGAAAGCTCAAACTAATGAGCACTCCATGAACAATGACTTTTGATACCGGAAAATTCCAAGGAAGAAATTCCTCAACACAGTGTAGAAACGCAAGAATCAGTACCACTGGAAGATGAGAAACTGCTACTTGAGCTGCTGGAACTGTTCCAGCCACTGGAGGCATTACCATAACCACGGTCTTGATCATGACCAACTTCTCCACCTCATTCGTCCTTCTCAATCTCCACGGGAGGAAAGTGTGTAGCATGCATATCATCGTCAATGTCCACATCCTCATCATCGTTTTTTTAAGGTCTATTTTCCAAATCATTCCCCTCGCCCATTGCACTCTAAAATATATAAACAGCATGTGAACTTCAATAGTTCCCAAATGCAAATCAGGAAAAAAAAAATACTCCAGTTAGTCACAAACCGATCAAGTTCCCAAAGAGTTTCAGTATCAAGGGCTTCAATATCGAGCTCAATTTCATCGCCATCTTGCGCCAAATGTTCATTCCCCTTCCTAATAATCTTAACCAATTGTGGCATTTTCTCTTGAGGTAAACTCTGCAATCCAAAATCCTGGGGGGACACGTGCCCACCCAGGCTACCCCCGGTCCGCCGGTGTGTGTTAATATCAAGTAGGTAACATAAATAAACTTACATTCAATTGTAGCAAATAATGTTCATTTCAATCATCCAACACGAAAATATGATCATTTCTATCTCGAAACTTAGGTCATTGTTCCATTTTGTAACATTACATAAAGCTTTGGGTTCATTTCAATCTCAAAACTTAGGGACGTTAATTCATATTATTCGATCTATAATATTAGAACATGAAATCTTCCACTTGAGCTTATAAACTTTTTGTATTAACTTATTTTTTGTAGATTGCTTGACTTGATGGAACATTGAAATATGAAGATGTTGGATAATTTCAACATATATGGAGCCACACGTTGTATATTGAAATGTGTGGTGCTATTATTTAAATGATATTAATCAATTAAAGTGATCCGATAAAAATGTATTGTGACTAATGGGTATTAGATTTCATGGAATTATAGTGTAGAGACTGGAGTGTTGTTTTAAATTGATGATGGGCCAATTTGAAGCAACTGAGAAAGATAGTGAACATTGAATTACTACTATTATTTTATATGGTTATGGTCCCCATTTGTTGGTATTTTTCAAGTTTCTCTACATCCCCATCAATAGAGAGCAAAAAGCCAAGAGAAGATCACCAATCATTTGGAAGATCCTAACATATCTAGGCAAAGAATCAAATTATCATGGATCAAGGTATATTTTTATATATGTTTTGTTATTTTTCCTGATTTCAACATGAAAATGAATCTATGGTTATTTTATTGAGAATTAATGATTTGATTATTGTTTTGATCTATAATCCTATTATGTTTTTCTATCAAGTGGTATCAGAGCAGCTCTATAGTTGAAATTTGTGAGAAATTGAAATTTTAAATTCTGAATTTTTATGGATTCTTTGATTTTCATGCTAAGTTA